GTCCATGGAATGGAATTAGCTTTGGTGGTGTTCCACCACAGGTAGGCCCTCTTACTGTATATGTTTATGTTGTTAATACAGAGGAGGTTTACCGTTCCTATGAAGTGGTGGACAAATCTGTTATCACAAGATTTACGGTGAACGAATCTGGTTTGCTTGAACGCCTCGTGTTGTATGAGAACACCAGTGAATGGACCACCATGTTTACAGTGCAGAATGATATGTGTGATGATTATGCACAGTGCGGCCCTAATGGAGTTTGTAAGACTAAGCAGAGGCCAATCTGTGAATGCTTGGAAGGGTTCGTTCCGAGATCAGAACGCGAGTGGCTAGAACTCAATTGGACTGGTGGATGTGTGAGGAGCACCCCATTAGACTGCCGGAAGAGAGAGGGATTCCTGCAAGTTGAGAATGTGAAATTGCCAGACCTGTTGGACATCAAGTTAGACGAAAGGTTGAACCTCGAGGATTGCCGGGCAGAGTGCTTGAATAATTGTTCGTGTATAGCATATGCTAGATCGAATTACAACGGAAGTGGATGTTTAATGTGGTTCGGAGAACTGACAGATATCCGAGAGTTCGTTGCAGAACAATTCGAGCAAAATATCTATGTCCGGTTGCCTGCTTCAGAATTAGGTAAGTGGATTTTGTGTTATTCCATTTTGTTAACTGCTGCATTTTGAGGAAACTAATGGCTGACTTGATCTGCTGGTGTAAAGGGACAGATGATTCAAGTTGGAGAAGTAAAAGAATAGTGATTATAATGATCACATCAATGGTCGGTGGGCTGCTTGCTTTACTTTTGGCATGCTGGTTCATAGTTTGGAAGTATAGGAGCAAAAGAAAAGGTAATTAAACTTTATCATTTCTCTTAGATCTATAGAATCTAATACCTGTTCTTTCACATTCAGAACTGCATTCGAACAAAGAAGATCTGGAGTTGCCGTTATTCGATTTTGTTACTATTGAATCCGCAACCAATAACTTTTCCGACTCGAATAAAATAGGAACAGGCGGTTTCGGACTTGTTTACAAGGTAATTGCCAGAGCTAATATCTGCTTCAATGATTAATATATATGATTCATTGAAAGGGGACTTGTATCATAATTCCTTTGCAAAATAACATGCAGGGTGAGCTATTTGAGGGACAAGAAAATAGCAGTAAAGAGGCTCTCTAGCAATTCCCGGCAAGGTGTTGAACATTTCAAGAACGAAGTTGCAATGATATCTAAGCTTCAACACAGAAATCTTGTTAGGCTTTTGGGCTGTTGCATTAAGAGAGATGAAAGGATGCTTATCTACGAGTTTATGCCTAACAGAAGCTTGAATTACTTCATTTTCGGTTCGTTTTCATCTAATTTTTACTTAATTAATATGTCAGTACATGGTAAAGAAAAATAAAACTTCTGCAGATGAAACCAGAAGAAAGGTGTTGACATGGCCGAAGCGTTTCAAAATCATAATGGGAATTTCAAGAGGGCTTCTTTACCTCCACCAAGATTCGAGATTGAGAATCATTCACAGGGATTTGAAAGCCAGTAATGTGTTGCTGGACAATGAGTTGAACCCCAAAATTTCAGACTTTGGGATAGCCAAAATGTTTGAAGGTGATCAAGTTGAAGCCAAAACTAAGAGAGTAGTTGGGACATAGTAAGTCTAATGTTGTTGCATGAAATTAATAGATTGCTTGTTTTCTTCACTTTGTTCAAAAGCTTACACTTTGCTTGATCATTTGTTTTAGTGGTTATATGTCGCCGGAGTACGCGATTGACGGGAAATTTTCGGTTAAATCAGATGTGTTTAGCTTGGGGGTGCTTATGCTAGAGATTGTGAGTGGGAAAAGGAACAGGGGCTTTAACCATCCGGATCATTACCACAATCTCTTGGGACATGTAGGTCGCCTTTCTTGCATTGTCATAAGATTTCGTTGTGTCATTAGTCTTAAGATATCGGATTAAGAACTCGATTCATTGCAGGCATGGCTGCTGTGGAACGATGGGAAGGCCATGGAACTAATGGATCGTTGTTCGGAAGATTCATGTGTTGAAGAACAAGTGGTGAGGTGCATTCAGGTAGGCCTGCTATGTGTTCAGAAACACGTAGAGGACAGACCGACGATGTCGTGCGTGGTTCGGATGTTGGATAACGAAGAGATCGCGACGTCACTGCCTCGACCGAAGGAGCCTGGCTTCTATGTAGAAAGAAGTTCCGGTGATACAAATGCTGTAGGTTTGCATACACAACCTTCAACTGAAAATGCACTCACCTTGACTCAGGAAGAAGGTAGATAAAACAGATTGAAAGCAAATTATTGAATGAGAAGCCTACTGCTTCGAAGTCAAATGATTTGAGATTGTTTAAGCTTGCAAATTATCGAACGTAAAGCCTAATGCTTCGAAGCCAATAATTTGAAATTGTTTATGCTTTAGGGTTAGCAATTCCTTGGAATTCCATGTATAACCTAATTTTTATATTTTACAAAATTTATCAATACTTTTTTATTAAATTTTGCCCATCAATGAAATAATTAAGGATAAACTATGTTAGGGTCTCTTTTATTTTCGGTCTAATCGACTTTAATCATGATTGTTTTAATTGAGTGCGTTTGGTCTTTTACGTTATCGGTCCGATTTAAGTCTCTCGCTGTTAACTTCCATTAACCCATTAATAAAAAATTGAGTTGATAATTAAAAATAAAAAAAATAAAAAACCCACGTGTGTGAGTTGGGATGTGGAAGCTTCTTCTTCTTCATCATCAAAGTAATGGAGTCCTAGCTCTTCCGCTACCTCCCAATACTACCACCTCATTATTCACGTTTTCCCTCCCTCTCTTGCCCCTCAACTCCGCCGCCGCTCTCTTCGGCGGCCTCCTCACCCCTCTCTTCGCTCTCCCCCTCTTCCTCTGAGCTCCTCATAACCATAGTACTAAATTGCGTTGCGGTCAAAAACCGTTACGTAATACCGTAACATGTTATAAATTGTGCCGCAACGCCACAACAAACTTTAAATTATCAGAAATATAAAATTACATAAATGAATTGTTCTAATTTAATTCTTAAAACTGGATTACAAATATATATCATTAATAATATCGTAATAGTTATGTTTAAAATTAGTTACTTATATTTGAATTAATTAAATTATTTATTAACGTTATTTTAAAATTAAATTTAAATTAAATTTTTCTCATATCTAAAATTGACGTGATTAATTTTAAATTAAATTTTTATATTAACATCAAGTATCATAATTATATGTATATTTATTATTATATAAATTTTGTATAAGAGAGGAATTCACTTTATAATACTATAATATTATATGTAATTTATCTATTTACTATGAACATTTCACCTACTCCATCTAATGAGAAAAATGTTCAATTATCGACGTCAAGTTATAATATGATGATGATGATGATGATAACGATGACAATGATCATAGTGGTTGTGATGATCATGGTGGTGATAATGAATATACGTACCAACCAGAATATGGACACATTTATTCTACTACTTTTCATGGAAATCAAGGTATGTCCAAATATCCGTTCGATGATAATTCATCAAATGCATCACAAAATAGAAGATATGATGATGATATAATTCATATGAGGATGGGATAATACTTTTACGATTCATTTGCAGTGTCATCATCATATAGTTCAACTACAAATGATAATGAAATTAGTGAATCATCTCATGGTTCTCATTCTTACCAACCAAATTCATGTTATCCGCCTTACCTTGAACAAAATTCAAGTTATGATTTTTTTGTCATCATTTATCATACAACATGTTTCCTACCAAAGATGCATCTTATGATGCACATAATGTGATGTCTTCTCCACACGGAATAAGAAGGAATCAAAATCAATACAATGACGAAGATGAAAATGCTTTAGATCTACTACGTCATTCATATTGGTGGTGAACTGTAAGATATATATTTTTATATTTGTAGTTATGTATTTTTTTTCTTTCTAAGTTATGTAAATGAATATTTTTATGTTAAAATATAAAAAAAATTGATATGATCTTAGTGGTATTGTTTATATGTTATTCATTAACATTATAATTGTTACTACACATTATCTAGTATGACAGTACTTCTATGATTTATATTTATTTTTAATAAATTTTTATATATGAAATTAAATTTTTATTTTCAAAATAAAATATTAAGAGTATATTATTATTAGTATATTAAAATATAATTGTAAAATGTATAAATATAATATTTTAGACGTATTGTGATTTTTGAATAAGAGATCACGCCCGCAACAGTCACGTAACATTCGCAGCATCAGTAACCACGACACCACAACCGCAACCGTAACAAAATTCGCAACCGCAATTTAATACTATACTCGTAACCCTCTCCACCACCCTTTCCTTCTCTTTACTCTCTTCCTCTAAATCGTCACCATCACCATTGTCATCTCTACCGCCGTTATCTTCATTGTCGTTGTCACCCTCTTTGAATCGTCTCTTCAGCTCCATGACGTCATGCGAGCTAAGCTCGTTACCACCATACTCGTGATTCGACTCCCCACTCTTGCTGCTTGTTCTCTGTGAATTCTTTGGAGATCCTTCTTCTCAGAGTAGCCAGCGAAGACGTGAAGTCCGCCTGCTTTGGATACCGGCGAAGCACTCGAACTCCACACAAACATGTGCAACTCCTTTGCATCATGATTCTCTTTATTATTCTCCTTCTTCTCAGAGTAGCCCCCTCGTTCACACTATTTATCCTCCTTTGAACCCCCTCTTCCCTTCAATAGTCTCATCTCTCGATTCTTCTCCGCCTCTTCGGCGATGTTTATTCTTAAGAAATTTAAAATTCTTAGGGTTATCTCTTCAATTTCTTTTATATATATATATATATTTTTTCTGAAAGATAATAAAGAAGAGACAATGATGAAGCAAAGTTTTTTTTTTTTGAGTTTTAGACCAGAAGTTGAAGACTAACCCTTGGCTGTCAATTTGTTTTCAAATTATAGAGGCTAATGATGATAATTTTAAATTATCTTAGCGGATTTCAGTGAGATTGTGCTGTCAATGATGTGCTTGTTACTCACATGAGGCCTTTCCTTTGTAGGATTCAGTCTAGCTTTGAATATGTCTTACCTCAAATCTTATTTTATTTATGTCAAAAATAAATAAATTCATTCAAACATCTTAATATGACAGTCGATTCTTTATATTTTAAAATTCAAGTTCATAATAAATTATGATTAATTTCGATTGATCAAATTCTTTATTGCCAATTTAAATTGCAGACTTTTGGCGATGAGATGACTTTTGTCGAATTTTCAATTTTGTAACACCTATTATTAAGAAAATATAAAAATATTTTCCTTCGAGTGCATTTTTTAGGTAAAGGAACCTAATGCCCTCTATTTTAAAAAAAATCAATATGACCCTCCACTTTTTTCATTCAATGCGACTCTTCAATTTAGAAAAAGGATTCAATGTGGTCTTTTAACTAACGTTTTTCGTCGTTGACCTACGGGGTCGTTACTTTGTACTGACTAGCCCTTTTTTCCTCTCAATCCGACCTTTCAACTCAGGAAAATAACTCAATCTGACCCTCCTATTTCTGTTTAATGTTGTTATAAATGATAAAATTATATCATTCATCACTTAACTATCTTCTCTCTTCTATTTTAGTCACTAAACTTTAAAAGTTTTCAATTTAATCACTCAACTTTTGAGTACTCCTATTTTGATAATCATGATTTATTTTATTAATATTTATATGATGTGACATTTATTATTATTATTTTATTGATATATGATTAAAATAATTTTAATTAAATAAAATTTTAAAAATATATTGAAACAAAAAATATTCTCAAAATTATAATTAAATTAAAATATTCTCTCTACTTTATATATTTCCAAATCTCCACTCTCCACCTTTATCCTTTCATTTAATTTTTTCCCTTTTCAACCAAAGATTTCTTTTTTTCTTTCATTATCTGGTCAAGTAGCTCACCCCTAGTTTTTCATTTTTTTTATAAGTTCAATCTGAGTTCACTGAATCTGGTAATGAAAGAAAAAAAATAAATCTTTGGTTAAAAAAAAAAAATACCACATCATACATAAATGTCACATCATACATAAATATTAATAAAATAAATCATGATGATTAAAATAGGAGCAATTCAAAAGTTGGTGATTAAATTGAAAACTTTTAAAGTTTAGTGACTAAAATGGAAGAGAAAAAATTGAAGGGCAAGATTGAATTATTTTCTTGATTTGGAGGGTCAGGATGTGAGAAAAAAGGATTTGACCCACTTAAAGTGCCATGTCAGCACAAAGTAACGACTCTATCGGTCAACGACGAAAAACGTTAGTTAAAGGATCATACTAAGTCGTTTTTCTAAATTAGAGGATCACACTGAGTGAAAAAAATAAATAAAAAAGAATGGAGGGCCTTAGGTATCCGTTTTTGTTTTTTTTTTTAATAAAATTCGCGTGCATGTTAGTTATGTAATGGAATGGTTGATAAAATTCTTTTTGTTTAGGTTTTTGGGGGTTAGCAGTGTACTATATTTTATTTATTTGAATTTTTTATAAAGTTTGTAGGAAAAATTTGTTCTTATCAGGGTATTCTAGTTTTGTCTCTGTTCAGGATTTTAAAATTAAGGTTTAAAAGATATTATTAACATATTAAGAAATCGAAAAGTTTGGGACTATATTTACGAGGGTAAACCATATGTTTAATACTTTCAATTATCAATTTTGTTTTAATTTGTTCACCCAATTATTTTTTATTTCAACATGAATTAAGTTCTTGGTAGTTATACGATTATTCATTACGTTTCAAAATAGTATCTTATAATTGAGGGACCATTTTTATATTTTATCCAAAAAATTAGACACTGAAATTAAACCAATAAATAACAAATTTAACGAAATATAAAGGCTTAAATTAAAAAAAGGTACTCAGTCTAGGTCATTTTTTTGCTTTAAGTACTTAAACTATTTTTTTTTATCAAATTAAGTCATTATACTGTTATATGTAACCACTTTAAGTACTTTAAATGATATGTCAATATCTTATTGGTCGAAAAATATTTTTAACTGAGAAATGATATGACTTCAAATGATTAAATATAAAAATTTAAAGGCTTGACCAAAAACTGATTCATGTATTTAAAACAAAAAGAATACATAATTTGAAAACTTATTTTTACTTTAAGTCAAAAGTAATGTACAAACTATTAAATCAATACATAACAAGTCTTTTAGATGTATCTTTTTAATCTAAATTATTAAAATAATACTTTTTTTTCTTTTGTATCAAATAGAACACATTTATCTTTATTTCCTAGAATAGCTCCATTTTAACTACATGCAGGATTAAATTAAAAAAAAAAAAGAAAATAATTAAAAAAATTTAAACTCAACCAGTAAACCTTAACCTTTAATTCAAACCCCATCACTAATCCCACCGACCCTAAGCTTTAAATCTTGCCTTCCGGTGCCACCCCAAAAAGTCCACTACCTTAAGGACTTGAGCACAAAGGGCTAGAGGAGGAAAAATTATTAGATAGTTTCGACTCACTACGTCATTTGTGGTCCCAACTAATAAGCTCCATCCACATAATTTTTCCTCCAAGGTGAATATTATCCTCTTTCCTACATGTAAAAAAAGTGAGTAGTTATTTGGAAGTTATCTTGAGATAGTCAAACCTTATTGGTTGCGACAACGGATGATGTGGTAAGCCGAGTCCATCAAATAATTTCTCCTAAAGGAGGTGTAGACACCCATTTTCATCCAAGACTTCAAAGGTTCTTATTACAATATTTATATTATTATATAGTATATAATATATATAAAATAATTTTAAAAAAACGTATATAATATATTATATACGGTTGGTGAAAATATATAATTTTTGAAAATATATTATATAATTTTGAAAACATATAAAAAATTGCTTTTTGAAAATAGTTTAAAAAACATATATAATATATATAATTTTTTAAAACATATTATATAGTTTTTGAAAATATAATATATGTTATATAGTTTTTTAAATAAATATAGTGTGCGTATTATATATTATAGTATAATTACATATTATATATAAATTATTATTATGATTATATTATATGTTATAGTATATACATATTTATTATATTATATAAATATATTAGTATCTATCTATTTATTATATATTATATTATATTATTATTATATTATTTTTGGTTTTATCTTTAGTTCCAAATTCGTGTCCAGTCAAGTCCAAATCGGGTCCAGAGTGAAACCTAACCAAGCAAGCAGACCTGACCCAGCAAGCAAGTCCAGTTGGGAAGAATGTCCATTAGGGTTTTTGTGTTTAGTTTGGGCGCTGCATCAACCAGAGCCGTTGGATTTGGCTCTTTGATCCAACGACCAAAAACACTAGAGGAATTGATCGTCGTTCAACAGCGCGTGCAGACCACGCGCCTACAAGGTCGCCACTATGCGCTAAACTGAATCATTCCAAACCGAAAAATCGAAACATAATAGGGATTTCTAGTCATTTTCGGCCAACACAAACAGTAAAAAAGCCAACCAAATCAGAGATGGGAAACAACCCTATTATTCTCGAAAAAAGTCACCATCGAAGGGCTATATAAACCCCTGCAAATTAAACAAAAAAAAAACAAGCATCAAAGATCAAAACATCAAGGCATCAAGCAAAGAAAAAAAAACATTTCGCATACTAAAAAAACAAAAAAACCAAGACTCGGTCTCAGTTTTTGCTTGAAAGAGAGAATACTCGTCAGAGTTTAAAAAGTGGTCACCAGGAAAGGTAAAAATCGAAACTTTTAGTGTAGATCTACACCAATCGGGGGGTTTTCTTGGTATTTTGAGGTTGGATTTGGTTTCGGGGTGTTGAGAGGAAGGTTTCAGGGTAGTTTTAGGTTCTCCGGCCACCGATGGTGGTGGCCGAAGCGGCATCGGCGACGGGTGTAGGCCTCGTCGGAGGATGGCCAGTTAGGATAAGGGAATGCTTGAGTTGAGAGAGTTTGGGGGGTTTGGTTTTGGAGAAACGAATGAAAGTGATTGAATTTTGTGATTTTAGGGCTATTTATAGGGGGACCTTTGTGTAATTATGAAATTATTTCTTTAGTACCTGCAATTTTGATGCGTAATTCATTTTGGTCACTTTTGTAAAATTGCCCTTGAATTTTGAATTAATTCAATTTAATCCCTGTTTATTTTTCTTATATTTTGTAAATTGACCCCTTAAATTCTTTTTTTCGTCGCATCTTTCAATTAACATCAATTTGATCTTTCACTTTTAATTCTTTTCAATTTAATCATTTTTAATTTGAATTTTGTTTTAATTCTTTTACTTATTTAATATTTCTTTTATTTTATTGTTTAACATTAATTGGATTTATTTTTAGACAAATTTAAAATTCGTCAAAGGTAAATAATTCGGATCAAACATTTAATTTTTTAATTTAACTTTTTAATTTTCGTAATTAAGACAATCGATAAATCAAATTGGTACCGAAAGGGCAATACATGGGTGCTAATCCTTCCCTGACTGTAATTGACTTCTGAATCTGAAAATTTCTGGTAAAACGTAGATAAGATAAAATGCAAGTTAAGGTGTCCGATTAACCTAAATTAAGATGATCAACGACAGCTCCATCACATTAAATTAAGTCGGAACCGATTTTGGGGCCACCCGAAGGACGGTTACGACAGTAGGCAAAGGAGGTTAGTGGTTGTTGAGTTAATCGATCGGATGAATCGACCAAAGGAGGTGAATTGGCAATTAAAAATTTCGATGGAAGCTTTGACAAAAAATTGAAAAGATTTGCACAGCGATTTAGAGTGGTTCGACTTTCTCAACCAAAGTCTACATCCACTACCTTAGCTATCCACACTAAGGATTTTCCACAAATTCACTAATTTGTCTTTCTTTTGAGAGAAAAAGTAACCTTACAACTTCCTCATGAATTATACCCCAAATTCTTAAGAACATTCTCTCCCAAAGAGAAAGTTACAAATTTGCAAACTTTACAGAAAACCCTCACAAGGTAGATTGTTTGCACAATTCTAGAACAAGAAAAG